CCAAAGAAAAAAAACAAGGTCATATATGAAAGTTTTAAATTACAGATAGGAACATTTTAGTCAACATGTTATTTTTAAAACTGCAAAAAAGAGCCATAGTTTTAAAATTTTATTTCATAATTTTGTCGTCTTGGTTAGTTATTTGCAACATTTGGAGGCCCTTGTTTATGATTTTTTCCTACTAGTTTCCTCAGTTGACTATGGACCGGTAGGCATCTGAAACCATTTGTCACTGCTTCATTCAATCATAACATAAGCTTTCAATGATTCCATGTGATATAATCAATTCACAATACTATTAGTAAATGGAATATCTTGGGCTTTGAAAACAATATGAATAAAATAGAAAATTTGGAATGTAATAAATGTATATTAGAATTGTTTTTCAAGAGAGAAATTAGTATGTAGTTATAAAATATAAGGAAGGAGGTGGCGGACACATTAGATAACTCATTGAATAATTGGAAAGAGAAGAAGATGCAAGGTGGGTTGCGCTTGTGTATCGGGGCCCCACTGACCTAAATTCTTAATGCCTGTGCTTCATTGCGTCTGTTTGCGCCCTCTTCTCGGCTCTCTCTCTCTCTCTCTATCTCTCTCGCTCGCGCACACACTAATAATCTCAACCCACGTCACCAGCCATGTGCTTTTTCTTCTTCTCTCTCTCTCTCTCTCAATATTAAAAAAAAAAGAAAAGAAAAGGCGGCCGGTACTATGCAAGGCCATCTGTGAGTACGGTATTCTTTTTACTTCCGCCTCAATCTTTACCGTATTTTTTTTATTTAAAATTTTTCATCCTTCGCAAGTTTTTTCTTCTTACAAACATAATTATGTCCAGGTATGATCTCTCACTAGATAGCGTTATAAAAGAATAATCCATTCTATCATACTTAATCTTCGTCGATTACTATACTTTTTTTAAAATTTAATGATTTATATTTATTTTAAATTATTAAAAATCCCAAATTTATTCTAGTCTCAAAATGTACAATTTTTTTTTTTCAAAACAAACTCTATGGATTACAACCTTTTTATACTAGGCAAAACTTAAGTTGTTCATCTTATATACTTAATATATTTTTATTTAATTAAATTAAAATAAGTAAATTTTAATATGTTAAAAATATTAATAATAAGAATTTTTTATAAGATAATAATATATAAAAGATTCATTAAGTATATAAGTTTTTTTATATTTTTTTGTGAATGTAATTTTTTTCTGTATAATACTCCTGCAAAAATAATTTAATCGGTGACTATTTGTGGGTAGCATTTCAAACACTATAAGATGTGAAGATTAGGATTATTATTGTAACACACCAAATTTTTTTTTTTAAAAATAATTTAACTCAACCATAGTTGGGTTACAGCCACCCAACATATTTTTATATCAATAATTTCGATATAAAATATTTTATAATTGGCTTCAACTCACACACTATAACATTTCAGATAAATTTTTACCTCCCACATGCCATTAGGCTAAATCACATTTGTCCATCCTTATACTCCCAACAAGTAAAATAAGTAATTTAATAAATTTTCAATACAAGCCAGTTATTTGGCCTTATAATCATGCCATTTTAACCAATCCAAAGTAAACCAAATATTAAAATTACAGTCATCCAAATTGTACTAAAAATAGAAATAGTTTGAAAGGCATGATTACATTTATATATTCATATAATTGACAATAAACAAAAAGTCCTAATATTGGCAATATAACACATTATAAATCATAAATTAAATACCCAAAAGTGACAGTGGATCTATACCACTAAGCCTCTGGGACTCCTCCACGTGTCACTTGTGGCTCTTCTCCTGAAAATTGTTAACCACATAATGAGACTCAAAAGTCCCAGTAACCAAAGCCAATTTATGATAGTGTATACAAACAGTTAAGTGTGTACTTATTAAGTAAAAATTAAAAATAACATAATTCCAACAAATATAAGAAATATTACAATACACACAAACAACCATCCTTATATCCCTCCATTAACCTCGAGCCGTAGTCCTCACTCGGTGCTAAATTACCCGGCCAAAGGTAGATTAGCCCGAGCCCTTACAAACCACCTATTGAGTTCCAATAGGGGCATACCACGTGGCACATAAATACAACAACAATAGCAAGTCTCCCAACACCTCCCACAATAATCAAATAAATTTATAATAATATTGCACAATTATATAATATTACAAAATTTATAATTTTCTCAATAATCACCCAATTAACATGAAGTAACACTAATCATAAATTAAAAGCATGGTTACCTTGTGGCTTTTTCAATAAATTATTCCTTAAAATTTCTCTCTCACCACAATCTTCACCAGTAATACAATCTACAAATAACATATTATTTATAAATATTAGTTTCAATTTTTGAAACTAATAAAATAATTCTAATAATAGAATTAAAAATATAACATAATTTCTAATCTCAATCTTAATTCAAATCTATAGTTAATACTATTAAGTAAAATTTTTAACTCCTCTTTTAATTATCAATAAACATTAATAATCTAAAAATCAACTTCTAAACTAATTTCTATTATCAAAATTTTCTTTTTATTTCATAAATTCATACCTAAAATACCCAAAAATTAAAAATTGAGTCTCTAGCTTAGAATTATAATCCTATAACCATAATAATTCATTTCTCATCCCAAATAATCATCTAAACCTCAATAAATTAACATATATTTTCAGATCTAGTTTAGAATTTGATCTATAAGCCACAAATTCAAAGATCACCAATAAATTTATACTCTAGAATATTTATTATACTACTAACAACCTCAAAAATCATATTTATTCAACATAAATTCATCCCTCTTTCAGATCTTAAATTTTCTACCACTATAAAATCAGAAACCAAAGAAGAAGGATGACTAAGAAAAAATTTTAGAACACTTACTTAGTCTTAAAAAAGCTTAAAATCACACCCTAAATATCCTATTAAAAACTCTTACCTTAAAAATTTAGATATTTCGCACCGGTGACTCGCGTTCTCTCCGCCTCAGCTCGCGCGCAGGAATGAATGAGGAAATGAAGGAAGGTGAGTTTTTATAAAATTCAGTGGGTTCCACACATTTTTTTTTATTATTTCTTCTTCTCTCTCCCCCTTTTTTTTATTATTTTATATTTACTATTCATGCGGCGCGGAAAGCAAATTCGTTTTCTTCTTCTTCTTCCTTTTTTTTTGCATACCTTTTCCCCTTTTTTTTTATTATAATAATAATTTAATAATTTTTTTAATTAATTTTTTTTAATAAATTTATTTTTTTTTAAATTTTTTTAATTTAGAATTATATCATAAATTAGATTTAATAATCATTTTCTACTAATTTTCTTACCTCTAAATATTATTTTTTTTAAATTTCTATTAACCTAAATTAACTATTAAAATTTAAATTGGGATGTTACAATTATTGTTATTATTACTGTCTTGAAAGTGAGGGGAAAAAATATTAATAAATTTTTTTAAAATATATAAATAATAATTTAATTTCTTAAAATATCATAATTTTTTTAAAATCTCTATAAATTTTTCTATCATTACTAAATTTATATAAATTATTAAATTATTCTTGTTGAAAATAAATAATTCATAATTTTTTTTTATATTTATAAATTTTTTTCTTAAATTTATAATAATATAATAGTAAATCACAACTTCACAGTATTATTGCGAACATAAGAAGTAAAATCACAAATATAAAAAAAATTGTGAATCATTTATTTTTAACAAAAATAATTTAATAATTTATATAAATTTATTAAAAATAAAATTTTTTTTAAAGACTTTAAAAAATTATGATATTTTAAAATATTAAATTATTTTTTATATATTTTAAAAAATTATTATCTTTTTCTAAAAAAAATCAAATCTAACGGAAATGTTAGCACAAAGGCAAAGGCATTTCCCAAACAGGAAAAAATATATAATAATATAATAATAGTAACGAAAAGCGGTTTTCTTGTCAAATGACCTCATTCGTACTGTCCGCACTTGAATCTGTCCTTCCTCACATAGTCCGCCACCATATATTGTCTGCATTAGATGATTAACTACCCCTCCCCTCTAATGACCAAACTACCCCTCCCCTGCTTTCCTCCGTCCCGCTCGCTTCTTTCCCGTCCTTGCCCGTACGCATGTCACTACCGCTCTTCAAATGACTAAATACTCCCTGTCCCTCCCCAAACTTCCCCCTTTGTAAAACCATATCCTTAGAATAATGAAACAACAAAAATATCCAAATCACCTACTTTTTTTTGGATAAAAAATAAAATCCATATAAAACAAATAAAAAGGAAAAATAGTTACAAGAAAGTTAAACATTAAAAGATTAAACAACAAGAAAAATATGGTTAGTAGGGTAATTAGTGTCACATCTTCATGCGATAAAACTTTAGAAAGATTTAAAAAAAAAAGTGAGATGCCAGAATTAACAGATTATTTACCAGAGGTCGAGAATTATTATCTTTTGTTGGAGCCAATGCAAGATCTTCTAAGCTTTGCTTGTTTCTAGTACAATCAAACGCAGAATTTAAATCATGATTTGTTAATATATAACAAATTAGATAATAGTTAAGCTCAGTTTATAGCTATAGATTTTATACCTCAGTGTATGTTTTATTTTGATATTACAATTGATTATTATTGCATCCATTTCATTGTTTTGAAAAATTCATAATACATGAAACGTTAATTCAATAGAAATTGATGCTCAAACGCCCATGGCTTAGAAAATCTTGTAAAGCCGTTTGATACATTCAAATAGAAGGCATCAAAAGCGTCATATTCTAGGAGCCCCTTCGAAGCAGGATGATTAATTAATCGATTTTTAAAGCAAATAAGAAATTACTCGGAGGCTTGATGTTAACTACCGCCGGACTGTGGGCGGGATACATTTGTCTTTTCAAAAGTCTAGCCGCAAAACGCGATGACTAATATGTCGACAAGAGAATGGCCTTTTCGTCTTTTAGGACCTCAGATCTTCCTCCCTCCTCAATCGCTCTCTCTCACCTCTAAAAATTTCTCAAAACCAGAGGAGGATATCATTTGGTATCTTCCGTTAACGGTTACTCCGGAGGAATGCAATTCCATATTGATTTCGCCCCCACCGCCTCCATGTGCAGTCCTTGCGCGAGCTCCTTTGCTGTCTGAACTTCCGTAGTTTTTTTTTCCTCCGAAAACGAGACGCATTTACGGAGATTTTCTTCTCAATCTTTCTATTAGTCATGAAAAGGCACGAAGCCCTGGAGACCAATAACCCATTTGATTCTCTCTCGGAGGAGCTCGTCTTCACCATTCTCGACCACCTTCCTTCGAATTCACTCGACAAGAAGTCGTTTTCTTTAGTCTGCAAATCTTTCCACGCAATCGAAGCCAAACATCGCCGAGCCATCAGGCCTCTTCGCTCCGAACTTCTTCCTTCGATCTTGAACCGATACCCGTTTGTGTCCCATGCTGATCTCTCTCTGTGCCCTCGAGTGTCTGATAGTTCCCTCAACTTCATAGCTAACGCTTACAGTGCTACGCTACGACGGATCGATCTCTCGCGGTCCAGGTTCTTCTCTGCTAATGGGTTGTTGAGTTTGGCTACCAATTGCAAGAATTTGGTAGAGCTAGACTTGTCCAATGCGACGGAGCTGAAAGACGCAGCGGCGTCTGCAGTGGCTCAGGCGATGAATTTGGAGAAGCTGTGGTTGGCGAGATGTAAGCTGATAACGGACATGGGAATTGGGTGCATAGCAGTTGGGTGTAGGAAATTGAAATTGATTTGCTTGAAGTGGTGTTTGGGTGTGGGTGATTTAGGGGTGGACTTGATCGCAGTCAAGTGCCAGGAACTCCGTAGTTTGGATCTCTCTTATTTGCCTGTAAGCTTTCTTCTTCCACTCCAGTTTCCCTTTGACTATATGCATTAGCAACATGTTCATATGTTTTTATCTTAAATAAATGAAGAGATAGCTTTTCAGGGGAGAGTGTTTTGGAATATTTAGCTGGGTTGTATTAAATGGCCTTGGTGTTACGCATGTTGGTATCACTAATGGAGCTAATGATTGTTGATCGGAGGAGTTGGTAATGTGATGCCGAGTGCCCGAGTTCAGAAGCATGAGTACATTTTTTCTTTGTAAAGAACCCCATAGAACAAGTAATATGCATGATCTTGGTTGAGTTTTCAAACGTCATTAATAACCAGTTCAATACCTTACCTAAATAATCAACTGTTCTCTTGTAATTAACTGGACCGAGTTTTTGATTGTATTATTTATTTCTAAGTAGTGACCTGGTTGGGATAAATAATAATACTTATTATTGTTTTTGTTGTGCAGATCACAGGTAAATGTCTGTCATCAATTGTTAAATTGCAATATCTTGAAGATTTGGTCCTTGAAGGATGCTTTGGCGTTGATGATGACAGCCTTGATGTCTTCAAACAAGGGTGCACAACATTAAAGGTATATGTGGATGGTTGGCTGGTCAATTTCAGTTAATCATTTATCTAATAATGACAAAAATAGCGGAAATGCGATGTCATTTCCTGTTTTAATTTAGACAAGAATTTAACAATTTCAGCTTTACTTTATCAGTGAAATTCCCAAATTTTGGAGATTTGGTTGGGTGTGAAAAGGGGAAGAAATGGTTGTCTATATATTTCATTCTATATATGAAGGAAGCTTAATTTGATTCACATTAATGGTGAACCTTCAATACTGTTATTGGAAGCATCCGATATGATTGCATCAATATGTGTTTCAATATTTTTCACAACTCTCTTCGGTTATCTGATGCATTCACTAATGCTGCTATCCACAGAAACTTGACGTCTCAGGTTGTCAAAACATAAGCCACATAGGTCTCTCTGCCCTAACAAGCTGTTCTGGATGTATTGAGCAGCTTACTTTATCAGATGGTTCTTCTGTAGGTCTTCTCCTCCATTTCTATAGCTAAATACTCAAAGATTTCATCTGTAGCTAATTATTTAGAGTTAATGATTTAGGTGACACTTGCTCTTGCTGATGCCTTGAATAAACTTCCCATGCTGCAATCAATCATATTAGATGGCTGCCTGGTTACTCCTGCTGGATTAAAGGCCATTGGAAGTTCATGCATGTCATTAAAAGAGCTGAGTTTGAGAAAATGTTTGGGAGTGACTGACGAAGCTCTCTCATTTCTTGTGTCCAAACACAAGGATTTGAGGAAGCTTGACATTACATGTTGCCGCAAGATAACTCATCTTTCAATTGCTAGCATTGTGAACTCGTGCAAAAATCTCACTTCACTCAGGATGGAATCATGTACCCTAGTTCCAAGAAAAGCATTCGTTGTGATTGGACAGCAATGCGATTCTCTTGAGGAGCTAGACCTTACGGATAATGAAATTGATGATGAAGGTCTTCTTCTTGCCTAACTTGATTGGGATTTCGAACTACTGTATCAGCGGCCTTACTTCTCCTTCTGCAGGTCTCAGGTCCATTTCTCGGTGTTCCAGACTCTCCAGTCTAAAATTAGGAATCTGCCTGAACATAACTGACAAGGGACTTGCCTATGTTGGTAACTCCTGCTCAAAGTTAAAGGAGCTAGATCTCTACAGGTTTGTGGTTCAATTATGTAAGCTTTTGCTATTTCCTTAGCCGCATCATATGATTAAAAGTCTATTCACATTTTGGTGTATTTAGTGATTGATTTGGAGAAATTACAGCCTAAACATTGGGGCAGATTTGCTGGGTAATGTTAGCAGGCTCAGCATGCTTTAAGATTGAGGCTTGTAACGAAGGCTTATATTGGGCTCATCAACAGAGTGCAATCAATGCCCGACAAAATGCATTTTAGAAAAACTATGTAACTTATCATGTAATATCCCTGAAGTTAAGCAATATTCTTTTGTATAAAATAGTATGGAGACAGATTTGCTTAAGGTTTTTAAGTTTGAGCGTTGAAATTAATAATGGGAATTAGATTTGCATTAGCAGATATGAGAAAATGGCTGTAAGAAAATTTTGGTTTGGCTTGTCGATTAAATAAGTCTACGGCAAGTTTTAAGCTTAGGTTATTTAGTACTTGCCCAAGCTATGTTAGAGTATCTTTGTTCTGTTCCTTCCTTAAAAGTATGCGCTACTTTGAAAAAAAAAAAAAAAAAAAACTATGGTAGGATTTCATTTCTGTTTTCAACAATATTGTATATAATTCTTAGTCAGTACTCATTAATGATTATATTTTGCTTGTTCAGGTCCACGGGAATAACAGATTTAGGCATTTCAGCAATTGCTTGTGGTTGCCCTAGGCTTGAGACGATTAATGTTGCTTATTGTACTGACATCACTGATGGTTCCTTAATCTCCCTGTCAAAATGCTTAGAGTTGAAAACACTGGAAATCCGTGGATGCCTTCTTGTCACATCTAAGGGTTTAACAGCTATTGCACCAAATTGCAAGCAACTAAGTCGTCTGGACATAAAGAAGTGCTACAAGATTGATGATAGCGGGATGATTCCACTTGCTTGTTGGTCCCAAAATCTAAAACAGGTTTTCTTTCTTATTCTCAGGATTTCTGTTAACATAGAAGATGCAAGAAAATTTCTTCCAAGACTCTAAGGATATGTCTTTTGCTTTGCAGATAAATTTGTCATACAGTTCAGTCACAGATGTAGGGCTATTGTCACTTGCTAGCATCAGTTGTCTACACACTTTTAGTCTTCTGACCTTGCAGGGAGTGACTCCAAGAGGACTTGCTGCTGCTTTGTTGGCATTTGGAGGGCTAAGAAAAGTGAAGCTCCACGTTTCCTTGAGATCAACACTCCCTGATCCTCTTATCAAACACGTTGAAGCTCGTGGCTGTTTGTTTGAGTGGAGGAATAAAGTGTTTCAGGTATATGAATTTCCTGGTTCCTCTCTCAAGATGTTGTGAAACTTAAAATCAGTACTGTTGAACTTGTCAGTACCTTGGCTTTTATTTTGGTTAAACAAATGTGATTTTAAAATCAGTAACTAACGAGATGCTGGGTTGATGACAATAGACTTGCATACATGATTATCATACATGTTTAATTGTTTAGCCAAAGTACCAAACTCAAGGAGTGGGGGTTGAGGTTCAATTAAATTAATATCAATATCAATTCAATATACATGCATAAAAGTTAGTGGCAACCACACTGTTCATAAGAAGTCATGAACAGTGCAGGTTTCAACCTGCTCAGTCTTGGTGCAACACACGAGCCAAAATCCAGTTAGGTTAAACAATATGAAAGGGGTTAGCTTAGTTGATAACATGAGAGTGTATCTCTATTATTCTTGGGGAAGCACCTGGAAAGAACCTTGGATAATACAAAAGTAATGGAGAGGAAGTGCATCCTTAGTGTCACCTAGGAAGGCAGTTAGACTTGGAGTCTTGGACAAAGATGTGCACTCCAAACTTCGATACGGAAGAACCTTTATAAATAGGTTTCATAATGTTATTTAGTTATTAGGAATTTTGATTTTGTTCTGTTGATTTTTGTCGTGCCATTCGCAGGCTGAGATGGATCCCAAGTGTTGGAAATTACAGTTGGAGGATCTGATGGAAGTCGTTTAAGTTGAGAAGAAGGCTACAAAAATAATTTGTTTATTCTGATTTTTTTCTATCATCTCTACCATCTCTCTGCAAAATGGATTATCTACAGTTGGTGCTCAGAGGAATAGAATTGATCCTCACTCTTCGAGTTAACAAAACTGTGTACATGACTCTCGGATCTCCTACTGCTCTAGAAGCAGCCACGTAGAGCCTGTGGTGGCCTCCAAACAGTGAATGTTGTTTTGTACAACTTTTTATTATCTATCATTTTTTTAAAAAAAAAAGGGTTAAACCTGCTTTCCTTAGCGGCGTCTCACAATTTGAGGATCTTTTCTGGCCTTTAAATTTTAATTAATACATGTATATATACAGAGGGAGAGTGTGGATGTGCTCTGTCTTGTGCGCGCGCGCGCGGATAACAACGGTCTCACTATGTCCTCTATTAAGAACCACAGCCCGGTAGAGACTTTGGTGGCCTTGAATTAAGAAGGAAGATGTTTAACGATCATGTATCTTTGCCACTTCCATACCATATATTAATTGGTTAATGGGTAATTTTGTCTTGATTTTTTTTTTTAATCAAGTATAATGGGGATTGGCAGATATGCGTCTCACATTGGAACTTGCCAGAGAAGGAAATCAACGTGCAGATGCTCTTGCAAGTCTTAGTTTAGAATTGGAGGCTGGTGTTCATGTCTGGCCTGAAGATGAACTGTTGGAAGCTGTTGTTTTTTAGCGGATAGATGCAGTTTTGGGGTGGCTGAGGGGGGGGGGGGTTCATTTTTGTTTTAGTAGAACTAGGGTGGTTATTTTGGTATTTTCCCCCCCTCTAGTTCAGATGTTTATTTGTTGGGCTTAAATAATGAGGACCGAAAACTGCATCACATTTGATGAATCATGAATGCTTAAAACTGCAGGGGGCTTAACGCAATGAAAATGCATAGGTCCTCCCGGGAGTCGAGTTGAGGTCGATGGATTCGAAGTCCAGAGTGCTAACTACGACACCACGGGACAATATTGCAACGGATGATGTATACTTCTTATTTTTATCTAGTGTTTCACATGTTCTAGTTTCCTTGCGCTTCATATTCATCTTCATCTCCTGTACCCTGTGCGTCTTCATCCTTGGTCATGTTTTCGGCAAACTCCCATTAGAGGTGGGTTTCATTGTTAACGTACGGTCTCACTATATCGTGGGATTAATTATGCAAACCGCTGAGAATACGTAGCTAGAGAAGTCTTTGGGGTTCTCACTCTTCCTTCTCGCGTTTTTTTATCCATTTCTATTTGGAGAATGATTTCCTCTCGGAGAAAAATTTACACAAAACAACTGTAAGTTTTTGAAATGACAAATAATTATTAATGTTAAAAAATGGAAGACAACGAGAATGTGTTTGTTAGGACACACAAATACACACCTATTGGGAGCAATATCTTCATACATTATATATATAAATTGAGGTGACGAGTATAATTAACTTAATGGGTAAAACAATATATACAAATGACCTGAATGCAACTCTTTGGTATTTTGAATAATACACTTTTCCATTAACTAAGAAAAGGTTTGTACACCAACCATTTATAGAATACACAACCTGAACAAAAAGGCCAAAATGCTTATATAGAGTAAACGACAATATAAAACCAAAACGACAAAAAACAAAAATACATCAAATATTGCAAAATTTCAAAATTTAACTCCCTAATTTAATTAAACTATTCGAGAATAATTAAGTAAATTTAAGTGAAATTGGGTGAGAAGATGGTTAGAGAAGGCTAATAAACCTATTGGGTTGTGGTTGCAATTATAGGATTGAGTCTAGAGCGAAGTTAAACTTTGAAAGAGAAAAAAAACTCAAAATATCCATTGTTGTGCCATGTGCTGCGGCACATATGGCCTACACCATGACACATCACTCGAAAGAAGGGAGGTCTCTTTCTATGCCATCCGCTGTAATGTGTATTATGTGTGTCACAGCGCATGGCTCGTGTTCTAAATAAGACAAAGTGTGAGATAATTCAAAAAATAGAAGAGGAAAAGGGAGAAAATGAAGAGCTCGATTCTTGATCTACTTGGTCTTGTGGATTCAAGGCATTGAGAATATTTTAAAGCTTGTAAACACTAAAAGTAAGTTATATAAGCTCCTCTCTTCCTTCCTTCTTCTCTTTTGAGACTTTTTGAGTTAGGGTTTGTAGTAGAGAGTTGATTTTCAAACTTATAGGGCTATGGGCTCGAACTAATTAACTTAAATGAAATTAATAAAAGTTGTTTAAATTATTTAAATATAAGGTTTATGAATTTCACATTTTAGGTTGTTGGGTGGCATTAATATCCAAAAATGGACATTAAATGAAGTGATTGGAGATGGTTGGAAGTCATTCATGATAGTTAAAAAATTTAATGAAGCTCATTTGAGTTAAAGAGAGTTAATAAACTCATAGGTATGTTTAAATGCAAGAAATTGAGACTTTGAGGTATTTTTAAGTGTTGGGTTAGGGAGTTAAAATTTTTGTTATAGTTGTTATATTAATTGTGTTAAGTATGATTAATTATAGATTAATCATTCTGCACACTTTTGGCCTTATGAGGCCTTGAAAGCATTTGTGTTAAGCTTTTATGTTTAAATGCAAGAAATTGAGACTTTGGGGTATTTTTAAGTGTTGGGTTAGGGAGTTAAAATTGTCTTATAGTGGTTATATTAATGGTGTTAAGTATGATTAATTGTAGATTAATCATTTTGAACACCTTTTGGACTTGTGATGCCTTAGAAGCATTTGTGTTTAAAGGGTAAACTTTTAATCTCTCAAAAATTTAAGATGTTTTCAAAGGTTTAAAAATTAAAATATCATTTTGTAAAACTAACAAACTTGATAATCCTTCTAGGATTAGTTCCTTCATTATCTTAATTTTAGAGTTAAGTGGAGATTAACTTCACTTATGTTTATAGCCAGTTATAAGCTTGGGTAAAGGCGGAGGGCTATGTTAAGCCATCAACACCTAATGTAAAACTTTATTGAATCTATCATGAACATAGACAATAGATGTTATAATGTTAATGCTAGGTCGTTGCCTGTAAGTAATACGCTGCATGGTTCGAGTACAGTGATAAATGAGTTAGAGCTGCTGCATCGGTGCCCGGATGTAGTATTAAATGAGCAAGGACTACCATGTCATTCTAGATGTGCGTGGCTAAAGAAGCTAGTTTATAAGAGCAAGATTAGATTTGGTACTTGAAATGTTGAGATATTAAATTGTAAATCTATAGAGATGGTAGGGGTTATGATTTAAAGAAAAATCAATATCCTATGCCTGCAAGAAACAAAATGGCATGGAGAAGAAGCTAAGAATATTTAAGGTTTCAAACTTCGGTATACAGAAAAAGTAAGCACTCACAACAGAGTAGGTATCATTATTAATAAGGAGTGGAAGAAGAATGTTATAGAAGTTAGCAAAATTGGAGACAAAATTATTTTCTTAAAAATGATAGTTAGGCGTGAGACTGTTAATATTGTTAGCGCTTATACGCCTTAAGTCGGGATAGAAGCCAGTCTTAAGGAATTATTTTAGAAGGACTTAGAGGGGTTGATTCAACACATACCACAGAGTGAAAAGATTTTTATTGGAGGAAACTTTAATGGGCATGTTGAGAGGGAGGCTATCCAGTATGCGAGGGTGCATGGTGGTTCTAGTTTTGGAGAGCTAAACAATAAAGGACAAACTCTTTTTGATTTTTTGTTAGTGTATGATTTTAAAATTGCCAACACTTGTTTCAAGAAGAGAAATAAGCATCTCATCACTTACAAAAATGGAGCCTCAAGGTCACAGATTGATTTTCTTTTGGTTAGGAATACGGATAGAAGACTCTGTAAAAATTGCAAGGTGATTCCCGAGGATGCTGTAATGACACAAAATTAAAAGGTGAGAAGTAAGATATTTTCAAGCGAAATCTTTTGGACAAAGGAATTTGAGAATTTTAGGGAAATGCTAACATCTTATGGGATGATATGGCTAAAAAGATAAGGGAGGTTGTAAAAATAGTTTTGGGAGAATTAAAAGGTTTTGGTTCGAGAGATAAGGAGTCTTGGTGGTGGAATAATAGTATACAGGATAAAATCAAACATAAGAAGAATTGTTTTAAAGCCATACATTTGTGTAACAATGAGAAAAATTGGAAAAGGTATCATATGGCTAAGAAAGAAACTAAGAAAGCTGTGAGTGAAACTCGTTCTAAAGCTTTTGAAGAATTTTATAAGAGTCTTGAGATAAAAGAAGGAGAACGAAATATTTATAAGATTGCTAAGAGTAGGGAAAGAAAATCAAGAGATTTAGAACAGGTAAGGTATATAAAGGATGAAGAGAGAAGAATTTTAGTTACAGATGATGAAATTAAAAATTGATGAGAGACTTACTTTTCCAAACTTTTTAATGATAAAAAGAATTCGTCTAATAACTTGGAGGATTTAGTAACTCATGAAAGAGAACAAAATTTGTCATTCTATCGAATAATACATGATAAGGATGTAAAGGAAGCTCTTATAAAATTGACAAATGGTAGAGCCAACGAACCTGATTATATATCTATTGAAGTGTGAAAATGTTTAGGTGAAGAAGAGGTTAAATGGTTAACTAAGTTATTTAATGTGATTTTATAGTCTAAGAAAATGCTTGACGATTGGAGGAGAACTACATTAATTTCTATTTATAAAAATAAAGAGAATATTTAAAATTGTACTAACTATAAAGGGATTAAACTTATGAGCCATACAATAAAATTGTGGGAGAAAGTAATTTAGTATAGGTTGAGATTGGAGACAAGTATTTCTGAGAATTAGTTTGGTTTTATGCCAGGTAGATTGACTATAGAGGCAATTTATTTACTTAGGGAATTAATGAAAAAGTATCTTTGTAAAGATAAAGATTTACACATGGTTTTTATTAATTTAAAAAAAGCTTATAACCGTATACCAAGAGAAGTGCTTTGGAAAGCCTTGAAAAAGAAGGGAGTACGGATTGCTTATATTAAAGTTATATAAGATATGTATGAGGGGGTAAAAACTAGCATAAGAATGTCTAGTGGTCAAATAAAGGACTTTTCTATAAAGATTGAACTAAATCAAGGATTATTTTTGAGTCCTTATCTGTTTAACTTAGTCTTAAATGTTTTGACGGAACATATTCAAGAAAAAATTCTCAAATGTATGCTTTTCGTGGATGATATAGTTCTTATAACAAAGACAAAAGAAGAGATTAATTGTAAACTTGAGTTATGGACGAGGACATTCGAGTTGAAAAGTTTCCATCTGAGTAGGAATAAGACAAAATATTTATATTGTAAATTTGGTAAGAAATTAATTGATGGTAATTTGAAAGTAAAATTAGGAGATCAAATTATACCTCAAGTAGAAAAGTTTAGATATTTGAGAGCTATTATTCAAAATAATGGCAAAATCAATGAGGATATTTCACATAGGATTCAAGCTGGGTGGTTTAATTGAAGAAAAGCTAAAGGAGTTATTTGTGATTGTAAGGTGCCTAATAAACTTAAAAAAAAGTTTTATCATATTGTTATCAGACCGTCTATGTTATATAGTAATGAATGTTGGGTTTTAATAGGATAGTAAGAGCATAAAGTTGGAATAGAAGATATGAGAATATTACGATGGATGTGTGAATATACACGTAAAGATAAAATTTAAAATGAGCACGTACGCGAAAAAGTAAGGGTGACACCTATTGAGGAAAAAATAGTAGAAAATCATTCGAGATGATTTGGGCATGTATAAAAAAGACCGCGAGAGGCACCAATGAGAAGAGTGAAATGTAACGGGCGTCCTAAATTAGGACTTAATCATCATACAAACTATGATTAATCAAGGACTAACCCAAATGGATTATACAATACGAGATTAACCTAAATGAATTCTTAATATGTATTTATTTTTCACAAACTATTTAATATAAAGGAATCCCAAGTCTTTAAAATATTTTAAGAACTCATATCATTCAATTAAATATATGCGGAAGCATGATAATAACTATTTTTACTTGCACAAATATTTTGACCCATTATTATAATACAAGCATCAAAACACAATCTCAAGAGCCCAAAATACCTTTCCATCCTACACAAAACCCATAGTGCAAATGGATCAAGAATATATTATTCTAATTGACAATATCATAAACTAAATACACATATCAACATAAAAGGAGAGAGGCCTACAGAAGTGATTATTATCACTTAGCCTAATGCTCCTTTCCTCTGTTCTTCTCAGATGAGCTAGCTCCTGTAATATGTTAAAAGAGAGGGGTGAGTACAACCACTCAGTAACTAAGGTATATCTAAGTTATACAAATGCATGATAATTAATCATGAATGCAAGTAATCAATAAATTTATTAAGGTGACCATTCAAACAATCACATTAATAACATGTTAATCACATTAACATTTAACTCATGTGAATAATTTCAAGAATAAAGTCAAGTATAAAATTTGCACAAATAGCCACATATACATTATTCGCATAATTACTACATGTTCTCATTTCTACAATTATAATCATATTCTCAACATAGCCATCAATCACTCAAACGGCATGATAATAATAATATGCATGATCAATCTCTTCCTTATATCCCCCTTATTTCCTCTGACATGAAATCCGTGGACTAACAACCGGAAGGGATTATCCATGTGGTGAGACTACCTAAAGCCTTAATCATATCATGAGGGGCTACCGGGCCAGGGTTACCTTACTCACTTATGAACACGGTTTCCTCCAAATCACATATTATGGGGTGTCATACCCAAAACTAGCTCTACCCAAAACTCCAGGTAGGCCAGTAGGGTCAAGTCCCTTAATAGGAATAATGCTACAGTACCTTACAAGGTAAGTAGCGGCTATAACCCCTAGGATTATTGGTTAATAGCCAAATACCATATGGATTTTGTGTAATCGCTAACTCCTTCACTAAGGCGAACTCCCACCATATGATCATACTAATAAAAAAATGCATTTTAAAAAAAAACTCATATATATAATTCATAATTTATAGTCAAGATTGTGCACATCATCATCAACATCAATCTCATTACTTATACCAAGTCACAATTAACTTGGTCACAAATCATAAAGTCTCAACAAAGCCACATGCATAACAAACAACTATTTCAAATTTAGATATATATATATATATATTCTTTTGTTTCACCAATATAATTAATTAATTAATATACAAATGCATAAAATAGATTTCCCCCGGTTACCTCAACCTTTGAGAGGTCAAAAGTTACCCCTCAAGTTACAACACTTCCAAAGCTTTCCAAAGCTTAAATGGTGTCAAAAGAAAATTAATCTATAATTGATCATATTCCAATGTGTCAATAATATTATTAACACAATTTTCACTCATACTCTAACACCTAAGTATTTATTTTATTTTATTTTATATTTATTTATTTATTTATTTTTTAAGAAATTAGTCTTAGTCTCTTGAATTCTAAAATTTAATTTCATGTATTTGAACCTATCTACTTAGTTTAATAGTCTCCTTCACAATAATTTCATTCAAATATTTTTCTAATATCAAAATTTCTCTTTTTATTCCAAAAATTCGCACATAAAAAAAATACCCAAAAATTGCAAACTTGATTTCAAGCCTAGAATCATTATTCTATAGCCATAATAATTTATTTCTCATCTCAAATAATCATCTAAATATCAACAAATCAATTTATATTTTCAGATTTAACTAAAAATCTACCCATAAAAATCTAGGGATAAACTCAAATGCCTCAAATTCTAATTCTATCAACAAAATAATACTCTAGAATATTTATTACACTACTAACAACCTCAAAACCATATTTATTCAACATAAATTCATCCCTCTTCCAAATCCTAAATTTTTTACCACCACAAAATCAGAAACCAAAGAGAAAATATGACTAAGAAAAATGTTTAGAACACTTACCTAGTTTTAGAATACTTAAAATCTCATATGAAGTATCCTATTATGGAATTTCACCTTCTAAATCAGTCAGCCTCTCCATCAATGTCGCTCGCTCTCTCGCTCGCTCTCTGCCTCAGCTCGCGTACAGGGATGAAATAAAGAAATGAAGTAAGGAGGGTGATTTTATAAAAAAAAAACCATGGGTCCTACATGGTTTTTTTTTCCTCTTTCCTCTCTCTTCTTTTTTTTTATTATTATATATATATGTGTCATGATTGCCGTGGGAGAGCACCGATAGCGATTTCTTCTTATCCTTCTTCTTCTTTCTTTCTTTAGACATTTTCTTTTTTTTAATAATAATAATAATAATTTAATATTTTTTAATTAATTAATTAATTATTATTATTTTTTTAGAATTATATCCTGATTAGATTTAACAATCATTTCCTTCTAATTTGCTTACCTCTAAATATTTTTTTAAAAATTTCTATTAACCCAAATTAACTATTAAAATTTAAATTGGGATGTTACATGAAACATATAACTTTAAGCCCTGTTAAGAGGAGTAGATAAAGGCCTAAGAGAATACTCTTAAAAATTGTTAAACACGATCTCTTAATTAATAATATTTTTAAAAGCTTGATAAACGATAGAGCACAATGACGTCTTGCAATTCATATAGTCGATGCCACCTAGTGGGATAAAGGCTTATTGTTGTTGTTGTAGAGTTAAGTGGAGATTAATAAAGAAGACCTTACCTGACTTCCTCTGGCATGGGTTTCGGTGGCACCTTCCTTAAATCTATTAATCAAAGACAATAAAAGGGAGAAATCACTGTTTGTACCATATAGAACCAGATGCTTGTAACAGGGGATAAAAATTGTTGCTTCTAGTAGTATTGTCTTCTTTATGCTTTTATTATATACAAACATGGCTTTCATCGTAAGTGGAGACATTTCTTCTTCAAACTTCGCTGTTCTTTTGCTGTATCTTTTCTTCTTGCACTTTATAAACCAAATTGAAGAAGAAAATGGATTTTACCATTCACCAGCATTTTGCAATTCTGAACCTTTTTCCTTCAAGATTTTGCCCTAAGCTTTCCTATTTTTTGATGTAGATGGTTCAAAGCTCTATTTTCTCCCCCCAACCTCCAATTTTCTGAATCAGCATGCCACCTCATCACTATTTTAACATCTCAGCATCCTAATTAACACGGTTAGTGTATGTCAATTGTCAGCAAATGTGACACCGTTAATGCTGCTTCAACATTGGAGAGACTAATTTTGCTGATAGAAAACAAAAATTAGGCTTTTGTAACAATGAAATAAAAGTAGAGGGATCAATTTTAAAACGCATGTAAATTAAAATACAGGAATTAAATATTATGTTTTCTGCTAACTTGACCTTTTAATTGATGGGTCCAGGAATTTGTCTCCTTTGAACCATATCTTGAATATCAATCTTGGCCCTTGATACAGGTAATTTCATGCAAGTATCACAGGCAACATTTCTTCTGGCCCACTTCACGACCTGATGCTCTGATGTCATGTTGAAATCAATGGATCTACAGATCCATACAAAGGACCTAATGCGACTATTTGGTATTTTGAATGATACACTTTTGTATTAACTGAGAAAATGTTTGTACTGTATTTATAGAATACACAATCTGAACGAAAAGACTGAAATAGTTATCCAGAGTAAACGACAAAACAAGACCAAAAAGACAAGTAAGAAAGATACATCACATATTCTCAATAATATGAAACAAGATTATTGAGTGAAAGGGAAATTAAAGCTTACTATCATAATATGTATCAGTGTGGGAGATGATCAGGTGTAATTAGGTATGTGAGTGGACATATAGTTTGAAGACAGAAAGGAGAGCTGAAAGTGCTAAGCAAACGAAGGCCATAATTGACATGCTAATGGCTGCAGCTGAAGAGTCGAAAAACATATTGACATTATCATCGTATCCTCCATACTTCCTCAATCCCTTTGTCCGTGGCATCCCTGAAGATGCTGCTGATAACAGTAGATATGCCATTATCTGAAATCACCAATCATTTTGATCACATTATATATTCAGAGACTTTATCAACCCAAACTTCTTTTATTTGTAGCAGGTCGATTGAGGAAGAAGGAATGCCAAACCTCATCTCCAAGAAAGTCAATCAACGACATCGTTTTTGGCTGAAGAAGGTCTTTCCCGTTACAAAGTTCCTGAACTTGACGATACACTTGACCTATTGTGTACATTGTGGATATAATCGTCACAGCTAGTATATACCTATTATTACAAATTTCCACATTCATCAAGCTCAACAAACCCTTGGCTTGAATCTTAATCAAGAACCCAGTACGTAGTATGTCACAGAAATCTACCTGTATTCTTCGAATTCATTGAAACCAGACCCATCGCCTTCACTATTGCTGGCCGCCATGACGATTATCAACATGAGACCAATGCAGGAGAACAGCAGAGCCATTGTCCTCAAACCCAATAAGCTTCTCTTCAACAAATCCTCCCCGTTTTCTCGGCGCAGTATGTCATAAACTCCACCGCCTCCAGCCGCCGTCACGGCCTCATTTGCTGCGGCCTGCTGAGACTCAAGTTGGGTCTTTGCTTCTGAAGACTCACCGACGACGCTCGACATATCTCTGTCTGGTTTTCTTGGATGCTCACTCTCTTCGAACGAACTCGTAGTATTCGAGTTCCGCTAGAGCTCTAGGAAAAGGAAAATGGATAAGAAAAGGAGTTCTGGCGTAGAAAAAAGAAAATGGTGGTGCAAGTTTGGGTGCTTCTCTGTTTCTTTGCGACGATATTTAAGGTGACCGAGTGTGGGCAAATCGTTGGCGGGGACCTGGCTTCGGTACTTATGGTCTGTGATGAGATCTAAACCATACCGATCGAACAATTTAAATTTAAATTTGAATAGTTTAAATTTAAAATATTATTATATTTTTACTTTATATTTATTAAAATAAAATTAAAAAATGATTTTAATAAATTTTTTATTTTTAATCTGATTTAAAATTAATTTAAAAAATTTAATTTAATATTAAAATTTTTATAATTACTGTATATTGATTATCCAGATGTACCATGCACAAATTACAATTCATATTTAATTAGATATTAATTTGGACTATGTAGAATATATTTAGATAATTAATATACATCAATTATAAAAATTTTAATATTAAATTAAACCCTCCAAATGAAATTTAAATCTTATCAAAAATAAAAAATTTATTAAAATTATTTTTAAATTTTTATTTTAATAAATATAATATATAATAATACTTTATATCTGAATCATTTAAATTAAAATTTAAATAGTTTAAAATGATCTCAAAAATCAGGTCTTGTTGATGAAGGTTAATGAGATTTCATGTCACGAGGTAATGCAAGGGTGCGTGCTTTTTGAAATGATGTGTCATTGATGCATTGGCTGCAATTGTGTAGTTTTAAAATTAAGAATTAAGATTCAATTTTACTCCCATACTTATTTTTTAAGAACATTAACCATCCTATATTTTTAAGAGGAATAATTTTACTATTGAATTATTTTTTCAGAAACAAAAATCCTCTTGGTTAATAAACTATTAATTCTGCCATTATATGCTAATGTGACATATGCGTGTGCTCATGCATAGTGATATGTAAGACTTTGATCATATCTTTTGATATTAATTTGCCCCTGAACTCTCTTTTCAGGAGCATTAAGCACCTTAAAGTTTTTTTTAAGAATGCTGAGTACTCTAAAATCTTGTTAAAATAAATTTTAAAAAATATTGTGAAAAATTTAGGTATTTTAATATTTAATAATTTAAATATTATTATTTAAAATATTACACCACCTAATTTAATATTTTAATATTTTATAATTTTGTATTAAAAATGAAGAGAATGAACTTCCAAATTAACGAAGGAATTTTTTCTTCTCTCTCCATTTTTTTCTTATCAAGTAACTTTTTGTGTGGTACATTGATGGAAAAAGCGATATATTTTAAATAAACATATTTATTAATCCTAATTGTTATATTTTTTATTTTACTCTTAAAATTCTAACGTACAGATAATATTAAATTTGGGTAGTGAAATATTTTAAAAGAAGATTGTCAGTTGACCAAAAAAATTAAAGAATTTAATTAATATTAAAAATATAAATAAGTTTCGACACGTACAAAAAGCGTAATGGTTTGAGCTTTATCTCGAAAAGAGGATTGAATATTAATATATAAAAAATAAAAAATTATCTGTAAATTTATAAAATGCGTGTTTGAGTTGTTAAAATTTAAAAAGTAATTTATAAATTTTGAATGAATTTTTATAAATAATAATATTTAAATTATTAAATATAAAAATATTTAATATTTTGGAAATATTTATTAAATTTCATTTTAATAAGATTTCAAAGTACTCAATGCTCAGCGTTAGGATGCTTAATGCTTTCAAAAAAAAGAGTTCAAAGGCAAATTGGCTATAAAGGATACGGTCATAGTCTTACATGTCATTGGTGGGCTCCATACACATATCACATCAGCATATAATAATAGAGTTAATGGTTCATTAATGGAGGGATTTTTTGCTTCTAAAAAAATGATTTAGGGACAAAAAGCATAATGATTTGAGCTTTATCTTGAAAAGAGGATTGAATATTAATATATAAAAAATAAAAAATTATCTGTAAATTTATAAAATGCTTGTTTGAGTTGTTAAAATTTAAAAAGTAATTTATAAATTTTGAATGAATATTTATAAATAATAATATTTAAATTATTAAATATAAAAATATTTAATATTTTGGAAATATTTATTAAATTTTATTTTAATAAGACTTCAAGGTACTCAATGCTCAACGTTAGGATGCTCAATGCTTTCAAAAAAAGAGTCCAAAGGCAAATTGGCTATAAAGGATACGGTCATAGTCTTACATGTCATTGGTGGATTTCACACACATGTCACGTCAGTATGTAACAATAAAGTTAATGGTTCATTAATAGAGGAGTTTTTTGCTTCTAAAAAAATAATTTAGGGATAAAATTACCCCACTTAAGAGTATAGAATGCCTAATGCTCCTAAAAAATAAATACTGGGATAAAATTGGATCTTAACCTTAAAATTAAAAATATCTTTTTAATCATTTAACTTTTAACTCTATTAGTTTTACACACACAAAATTACATTAAATTTTTAAATATTAATATATTAAGTATAATTTTTTAACATAATAATGATTGACATAAAAAATAAATTTTTAAAATTAATAGTGTTAGGGTTAAATTATTGAAAATGTATTTTATAAAATTAAAAGACTAAATTAAAATTTTGTATGAAGTTAAAGCATAAAAGTATACTTAAGTCAAATTAAAATATTTCTCTTCTTTAGATACCCAGAACCCCCCCTTCCAACAAATCCACCTGTGATCTGTTAAAAAAAAAAAAAGCTAAAATCTAAACAAATTAAGCAAAATGAACAGCCAGGCCAGTGTTTACATTTGAGTTTGAGGAAAAGGTTGTCACATTTGAATTATGTAAATAATAAGTTAATTTTTCAAAAAATAGTTTCTTAATATATTGTATAATGCAAACTCAATTAAAAAGAAAAACTCATCTTATTGTGATTAATTAGCCGAGCCAAAGCGCGCAGAAGTGGTTTGTTATTTTTGTCCTGAAGTAAAAGTCCCTGAAATTAATATCTTAGCTCAAAAGCAACTCTTCGTGGCAAATTGAGTAGTGTAACTTGGGTCGCTTCAATGTTTGCATAGAGCAATATTGGATATTTCATTAAAATAAAAACAAAACAGCTTCAAAGCCTCAAAGCTCTATTTGGCCAATACTCATGACATTAGGCCACTGACCTTGTAAGCGATCACATAATTAATATAATTTAATATAAACTTTCTGGACTAAGATGAATATTTAATTACTTAGATTTGATCCTTGTGGCTTGATATTTACTTAAATAAGCCTTTTAGTTAATTTGCTGGCATACCACGATGGGCGTCTCACAATTGTCTATTATTGTTATTTCTGCGTATATAAAATTCCCAGTTAAGAATCTTAAATTTGGACACTCAATCTTTTTTTTTTTTTCCTATCTAGCTGCAAGGGTTTTTCTAGCGTGCAGTCATCAAATTTAAGCCCAGGCCTAAATTAATTAATACTTTTATGAAATCAAGGTCTACCAAATTTCGTGTGCGTGTGAACATGAACAAGCAGAGGACCCATTGATGGTGAAGAGTCAAACGAGTAAATCAATCCAATAGAAGTTGTGTGTGCATGTGTAACGGGGGGAAAAGAAAGCAAACTTGTTGATGTAATTAATTAGCGGTGCAGGCTCTTGTCGGATGCCCTGTGATGAAAATGATATTATTTTGTTGGAAAAATATAATAATTTTTTAAAATATATAAATAATATTTTAAAGTTTTTAAAGATTTTTCTGTCATAATTTATATAAATTTATTAATAATAAAAAAGTTTTTAAAAATTTAAAAGAATTATAATATTTTAAAGTATCAAATTATTATTTAAATATTTTAAAAAAATTATTGTCATTTTTTTTATTTTGTTTGGGAGAGAAGGCAACAAGAAGTAAGAATTAAGAATGAAAATATATAAATAGTGGAAGTTTCCTTTGTATCACAGATCGGCAATCGCTCTGTTCATGTCAGAATTTGCAGATTAATTGCAGAAGAGGAGGAGGAGATGCATGTGGCCGAGGTAGACCCTTCCCTTTGTTTATTGAGAGAAAGATAAAGAAGTCTTAATTAATTTAAGTTAAATTTTAAATATTAAATTTTAAAAATTTATAAATTTTTTTAATTTTATAATTATATTATGATAAATTTATAATTTATTTTTAAATTTTAACATGATTGAAGAATAAAAAAATATATTTTTTTGTTAAAATTTAAAATATAAATTATAAATTTATGATAATAAAATTGTAAAATTAAGAAATTAAGTTACATATTCTTAAAATTTAATATTTAAAATCTAATTTAAATTAATTAATTTTTTTAGAATCCCCTTATCATTCTTCCTTGTTTATTTGATCTGCTGAGATCTATGCATGCTAGCTTGCTAGCTTCTCTTTGCGCTGCTCTTTAATTTCCTGGGTTCCTCCTTTGTCTCCTCTCTCCCCTCTTTTCTAATGCTTTTTTTTTTTTTTTAAATTTTGGCCTTTTCGATTTCCCAACTATAACTCTATAAGGGAGTATTTTTGCATCCTTGCATTTCATGAATTTAATTTGCTTGCTTGCTTGCTTGCTTGCATTGCGATGTAGGGTATGCTTCCTGGCTTGGATTGTGTCCCAGTCCGAGAATTCACAGTCAGTATGGAGGCTAAGAAATTTTTGGTTCGTGACTTCATATGATTAATATTCTAGTTTCTCATTTAGGATTTATACCAAGCTAGGGAAACCATTCAGTCTAAAGCTGCACAAATAACGGATAAGGCAGAACTTTGGCCTAGCTCAAAGTTTGATATTTTTCATAAAAAAAAAATTAGATTAAACAACTCATATAATTTGATTTGGTTCAAGTTTAGATTAGAATTGAATAAGACTAAAATTGTCCTTGGGGCTAGGAAATTAGTCTCAATAGTCAAGTACCTAACTTTGTTTCTTTTTTTTTTTCCTTTTTTT